CCCCCGTGTCTGTTTTTGTTCCAGAACATAAGAAAATATTGTGTTAGTAAACTGATCTTGAGTTGGTGCCACTATTTAGTAGTAGAATATCGCTCAACATTAATTATTAACATCCACCTTGACTCTCTGAGAATAAAAATCAGTTGGAAACTCTGCTTTGAATTGGGTGGAGTCTCAGTTCTCAGCTAAAGTTCTGGGGTTGATGTCAGACCCCCAAGGAGGAAAAGAAGTCTTCTCTCCCTGATCTTCGAAGACTCTGATTTGGAGAGGAGATAAGGAACTGGGTGGGGATGGTGAGGGGGAGAATGGGAATGAAAGTCAAGATGGATTTTATACAAGTGCAGCAAATCTCCAAAGCTCTCAACGTCTTTGACCGCCAAGGATCTCATAGGACTTGCTCATTCCTCGGCAAGTTTGTCAAGGTTTCCACGTCTACCCAGATCTTATCAACTGCAAATCACTTAGGGGAATTAAGATGTGAAGACAGCCTGGATTTGACACCATCTAATAAATATTTAGTGAAGTTGCAGCCCATACGGCAGCATTCACAGTGCAGGGAGATGCCCGGCACCCATGGAATGTGGTCGGGTGATACGAGGACTAAGGCAAGAATATATAAGTCAGTGCCAAAGATGCCTTGTGCCATGACAAGTCCAAACAGATCCTTGTGGCATTCTGGGGAGGACAAGATCTTATCTGTAGGTGGAGAGAACCATGATCGGGTTGCTAAAGGGAGCTGCATTTCCAGGGAAGTTTTATTTCCTTGGGAACATTGCATAAGCCCTCCTGAGAGCAGAGGTGTTTCTTTAAAAATTGCCTTAGTTCTGGTACATCATTTTACCACTTATTTTATTCATATTGTGTTTTCCCCTTCAGATTGGAAAGAGTGGCAATGCCTATTTCCCTTCTGATTATAAACATATGGTTAGTTTTTTTTTAATCAAGTAGTAGGGAAAACTATAAAGTAACTAAAAATCATCTGTATTTTCACCTTCCAGATATAATTGTGGCTAGCATTTTAGTGTATGTGCCTCTTGACTGTGACAGAAATTTCCTGTTGCCCTCAATGGCCATTATCCACTTTTTCCTTAGTAGTAAAACTCTACATTTTTAGTTGGGCATATGGCTGCTCAGAATAAAATCTACATTTGCCAGCCTCTTTGCAGGTAGGAGTGTCCACAGACTAAGTCCTGGCCAATGAGATGGAAGCAAAAGTCATCTATATGACCTCTTGGAAATGTGATTAAGGGGAGAATATGAGTTCTTCTTACCCTCCCTCTTCCTTCATGCTTGCTGGAATGAGCCCTGATGGCTGGAGCTTCAGCAGCCATTTCGACCAGTGTAGTAGAAGCCATGTAATGGTGATGTGGAGCAAAAGGATGAAAGGAGTCTGGTCACTCTACCTGCCCTTTTATCAAAAGAGAAATCAGCTTTGAATTCCTTTGATTGTCTACATTCACCAGGGTTAGCAGTAAATCTAATGTCAACTTTTTTTGGGGGGGTTCTTTCCCAACTCTTGGAATCATGCAAACAAAACAAAATAACAACAACCCAGCTTCCCATAATACAAGAAAATTGGGAAAGGCCCTTTAGCTTTCTGCTCAATGATTACTGCTGATTTGCTCAGAGACCGAGTCCAAAACCATGCCACATCTGAGTTAGATGGCTCCACTCTTAGCAACTACTTCCTTTGCTCCGAGTCTGTCCATGCATTGACCCCTATCAAGAGACCTGCTGCTCCCCAGGGTGTGACAGAAGTGAGAGGTGTAGGTCTTGACTATTCAGAAACTCAACATCTTCTGTCCTTCCAGCCTGCTGCAACGAATATCTGTTACCCTTTATGGCTGCTCAACATTCTTGGACTCCTTCCCCTACCAGTGTTTGGGAATATCCCATTTCATCAATTCATGCCTCTCTAACATTGAGACTAGATAATCACTTTCGCAGAGGCTCTGCAGCTGGAGTACAGGCTTGTGACCTAGCCTCTGTCAATCAGAAGCATCAGTGCTGGTCTTCCACAAGAAGCTGGGAGCCAGAGCTGGAATCCACCCTCACCAGCATGGCAGCAGAAACTCTCAGCTTCAGAGGCAACAGTGGCCCCTGGTCTTGTGGTCAGGGGATAAATCACAATATCTGGAAGCAGCAGTGGTACCAATTCAACCAAAGGAGACTGTGGAGTGATTTGGCCACAGTTTCTGGACTTAGCCTTCAGGTCTGGAGATTATCTATCTCATCCATTTAGAGGTATCTATAGATATATACACACATAGACAGAGACAGAGGGAGGGTGGGAGAGGGACAGGGAGAGCGAGAGAGAGATTTAGGATAAGGAATTGGCTCACACGATTATGGAGCTAGCAAATCCAAAATCTGAAGAGCCAACGTCCCAGTTTGAGTCTGAAGGCTGGGAGTTGCTGTAAAATCAGGAAGAGTGGACGTTTCAGTTCAATGAAGCCTGTCAGACTGGAAGAATACTTTCTTACTCAGTGAAGAGTCAGTCTTCTGTTCTCTTCAGGCCTTCACCTGCTTCGATGAGGCTTCCTCGCATTATGGAGGTCAATTTGCTTTACTCAGTCTATTGATTTAAAAGTTGATCTCTGGGGCACCTGCGTGGTTTAGTCAGCTAAGTGGCTGCCTTCAGCTCAGGTCACGATCCCGGAGTCCTGGGATCGAGCCCCTCATTGGGTTCCTTGCTCGGCGGGGAGTCTGCTTCTCCCTCTCTCCCTCTCCCCCTGCTCATGCTTGCACACGTGCACTCTCTCTCTCTGAAATAAATAAAATCTTAAAAAAAAATGTTAATCTCTCTATCTCTCTTTTTAAAAGATTTTATTTACTTATTTGAGATAAAAAGAGCATGAGCTCTCTCTCCAGTCTCAGGTAGGCCTTCAGATGACTGTAGCCCCTGCGGACACTGTGACCACAACTTCACGGGAGACCCTGAGCCACAACCCTGTAGCTACAGCACTTCTGAAATCCTCACCCGTACAAACTGCAAGGTTCCAGATGTTTGTTTTAAGCCACTGACTTTTGGGGGTTATTTGTTACTTAGAAATAAGTAGCTAATTCACCTGGTTTATAGTTCTTTTTTTTAATTGAGATATAATTGACATATAACATTATATTAGTTTCATGTGTGCAACACAAGGATTTTATATTTGTATACACTGTGAAATGATCAATAACTTAAGTCTAGTTAACATCCATCACTACACAGTTATACATTTTTTTTCTTTGAGAACATTTAAGGTTTATTTTCTTAGGAACTTTCAAATATACAAATACGACATTATTTACTATAGTAGCCATGCTTACATTACATCTCCATGATTTATTTATTTTAAAACTTCGCCCATTTCATCCACCCCCTACCCCCCCACACACACACACCTCTAGCAACCACCCGTTTGTTCACTGTATCTATGAGTTTGGTTTTTTGGAGGGGAGGGTTTGGTTTGGGTTTGTTTTTTTTTTGCAGATTTCACAAATAAGTGAGATCATACAATATTTGTCTTTCTCTGACATTTCACTTAGCATAATGCCCTCAAGGTCTATGCATGTTGTTGCAAATGGCGAGATTTCCTTCTTTTTATGGCTGAATAATATTCCACTGTGTATATATACACCACATTTTCTTTATCCATTTATACATCAGTAGACACTTAGGTTGCTTCCATGTCTTGGCTATTGTTAAGAATGCTGCTATGAATATGAACAGACATCTCTTCAAGTTAGTACTTTTGCTTCCTTTGGATAAATATCCAGAAGTGGGATTGCTGGATTATATGGTAGTTCTACTTTTAACTCTTTGAGAAACATCCATACTGTCTTGCACAGTGGCTGCACCAATTTACATTCCCACCAACAGTGCACAAGGGTTCCCTTTTCTCCACATCCTCCCCAACACTCATTATTTCTTGTCTGGGTGGCTCAGTCAGTTAAGCATCTGCCTTTGGCTCAGGTCATGATCCTAGGGTCCTCGCATCAGGCTCCCTGCTCAGCGGGGAGTCTACTTCTCCCTCTCCCTCTGCCTGCCACTCCCCCTGCTTGTGCTCTCTCTCTCTCTCTGTCAAATAAATAAATACTATCTTTAAAAAAAAATGGTATCGGGGCGCCTGGGTGGCTCAGTTGGTTAAGCAACTGCCTTCAGCTCCGGTCACGGTCCCAGGGTCCTGGGATCGAGCCCCGCATCGGGCTCCCTGCTCGGCGGGAAGCCTGCTTCTCCCTCTCCCACTCCCCCCGCTTGTGTTCCCTCTCTCGCTGTCTCTCTCTGTCAATTAAATAAATAAAATCTTTAAAAAAATAAATAAATAAATAAATTAAAAAAATGGTATCTTCCTCACATGGCAGAGGCCTCAGTTTCTTACTGGCTGTTGCCAGGAGGCCTCATTCCTCATTACATGGGCCTTTGCATAGCCTGCTAGAGCGTCCTCAACACACTTAGTGGCACAACACACTTCTCCCAGAGCATGTGATTCAAGGAAGTACTAAGTGTAGCCACTAAGTTTTTTTTTTTTTAAGATTTTATTTATTTATTCATGAGAGACAGAGAGAGAGAGAGAGAGAGAGAGAGAGAGAGGCAGAGGGAGAAGCAGGCTCCCAAGGAGCAGGGAGCCCGATGCAGGACCCGATCCCAGGACTCTGGGATCATGACCTGAGCTAAAGGCAGATGCTTAACCATCTGAGCCACCCAGGCGCCCACTACTGTTTTTTATGAACTCCAACACTGTCCTCACATTCTATTGTTTAGAAGCAAGTCACTAAGTACAGCCTACACTTGAGGGGGGAATTCAGCTCTACCCCTTGAAGGGAGGAAATCAAAGATTTTGTGAACATACTTGAAAAGTAAACATACCAGGGGTTAACACCATAAAAGGCAAGAAGGGACACTGAGTAGTAATTGCAGGGAGCAGCCATGAGTTGGGAGGACATCTGGAAGAGGCTGGAAACACCAAAACTAAGGAGTTTAGAGAAGGGGGCCAATGCAGCAGAGAGGCACTAACCTGCTGGTGTCTCTGAACCCAGAGGAAATTCTCATGGGGCCGGGACTCCAACTGTGGTGGAGGAGGTAGCGCCACTCAGCTGTTGCCAGTGCTCTGAGCAGGTACAGTGAAGCTGGTGCTGTATTAAAAAAGAATGATAAAAACCTGCGAACTAGAACCAGCTGGAAACTGGAACAAACGGTCATTTCTAGGAAGAAGAATTGCTGTTGGAGTGACACTCGCAGGAATGTTCAGCAAACAAGGAGCAGGTCCCTTCTACCTTCTCTAGCACCCCCAGTCTCACCCATGTGCCCCTGATTGGAGGATCCTAATAGGAAGGCAGAGTCCACATACAGGTTTCCTGCTCTTCCAAAGTAGAGAATTTCTACTGTAAGTGGAAATGTCTTAACGTGAAGGAGCAATTACTGTTAAGTTTATATGGAAAATTTTTTGTGTTCCAGACCCCCCAAAAAATAACCCTTTAGGTTCTTCTGATACCTTATGACACATCATGGCAACGGATGCAGAGAATAAGCTGAGATAAAGTAGATACTCACAGACACATTTCAAAGCTCTGGCAGCTGGATGCTGAGATGCTGAGTGAAGTCCTGGGGAAGGAGCTTGGTGGCACCACTCTCGCTGCTGGGGCCGCGCTGGCTCTGTAACTGCTGGCTGCAAAACAAATGTTGAGAGCTATTTTTGCTTTTTGCCTTTTTTTTTCCCCAAAAGCAAATATCCTCTTCTGATTTCTTTTTTTTTTTAAGATTTTATTTATTTATTTGATAGAAAGAGATAACGAGAGCAGGAACACAAGCAGGGGGTGTGGGAGAGGGAGAAGCAGGCTTCCTGCCGAGCAGGGAGCCCGATGTGGGACTCGATCCCAGGACCCTGGGATCATGACCTGAGCCGAAGGCAGATGCTTAACGACTGAGCCACCCAGGCACCCCTTCTGATTTCTTTCTGTTAGCGCGAACAGGTAACTGATGCAGGTCTTTCATAAAAGCAAAGTGGTGTAAGGTAAACTTTCAAAAATTATGGGATACCTGTCTTCATTTATGTAATAATGATTTATACTCATTTAATAATAACTGACATTATCCAGTGCTTACCGTGTGCCAAGCGCTATTTTAAATATGTAATCTAAGACTCTAAGAGGTAGGTGTTACCCTACTGCCATTTTACAGGTGAGAAAACGGATACACAGGGAAGGTAATTCGCCAAAGTCGCACCTAGTTAGAGTTGAAGCCGGGGATTTGAACCTAGAGAGCGACTTCCACAAGCTGTGAGCTCAAACACTCTGCTAACCTACCCTGATACCAAATATCATCCTGCCAGGCTAGGTAGAATAAAACGGTGAGCAAAAACAGACCTAGTCTTGGTCCTCATGGAGCTGATGATTTAGTGGGAAAGACCACTTACCAACTCACAACAAATGAAAGTAAAATTAAAACTGTGTCTGGTGCTCCAAAGAATTACACAGATCATGATAGACTTCTATTTAAAAAAAAAAAGAAAAAGATGGAATTTGACCTACGTAGGGGTTGGGAGTGGGAATGGGGCCAGACCAAGGAGGGGCTTACAGGCCCAGAAGGAGGAGGTCTGTCTTTATCCTAAAAAACAATGGAAGTAAAATAATAATAATAATTAAAACCAAAAATAAAAAAAAACAATGGAAGTCACTCAAGACTTTTCACCGAGGCAGGGAGGATGAGAATGGTGAACCAGACTGGCCCCAGGGAAGCTGGTTATGAGGCTGCTTTCCAGGTGGGATATGGTGATGGGGGAGATGGGGAGAATTAGAGGGAGCTGTGAGATGGAGGTAATACTGAAAGGATATGAAGAATGGGAGTTGGATGGGGGCGGTAAAGGAGGGGGAGAAATCAAGTACGCATGGTCCCTTGAATGGAGTTGTCATCCACTGAATTGGGGAATGGGGGAAGGTCTGACTGGACCAACATTTAGGCAGTAGAGTTAAGATAGATCTTGGACACTGATAGGATATCAGGTTCTAAAGGAGATGGAGGACTGTGTTTTCAAAGACATAACTTGATATAGCTGCACTATCGAAAATATTTGCCACTAGCCACAGGTGGCTATTTAACTTAAATAAAATAAAAAATGGAAAAATCAGTCCCCACGTGGCTAGTGGTTACCCTGTTGGACAGGACAGATATAAGACATTTTAATTGCTGCAGAAAATTCCAATGGACAGCACTGCTCTAACAATTGGCATTATTTGATGTTTTATAGTAAACAAAGTCTGTTCGTGTCCATCTTTGCCTTTAATCCAGTGTGACGTTGTTGTCTTGGTTTTCGAAGAGTTCGAGGAAATGCTCTAAACACTGACATCTACCGTGTGTTGTGCTGAGCTCGACTGACAGTTTGACTCAAAATATGGACTGTACCTGGTGCCCGTTTGTAAACTTTATTACCTGTTCAGGACAATAAAGTACAGAAATTGAGAATAAGATTTTAGAAAGTTTTCTAGCAAACTGGCATTGCTAAAATATTTCATTGTATTTCACATAAGTACCAGTCTGCAGCGGATTGGAAATTTTGTTTAAATTTATTTTAATTTATTTTTAAAAAATTTTTAAGTAATCTCTACAACCAAGGTGGGGCTCAAACTCACAATCCCGAGATCAAGAGTCACATGCTCTACCAACTGAGCCAGCCAGGTACCCCTGGATTGGAAATTTAAAATGTTGGTCCTTCATTATAGATGGTGAAATTGCAGCACTGCTCTATGGCCCAAGAGTTGGACATGCTTCCTGCCCTCCAGAGCTCAGGTAATGTCAGCCAGAGCTGACATAAGGTCTATTTGAACTGAGCAAACATGGGCATACAGACCTGATATACATCTGAAAATGATTCAAAAACATGTAAAGACATTCATTCACTTGTTTATTCACCTGGCATTCACTAAGTGCCTGCTATGTGCCAAGCACTATACTAAGCACTTGGGATACAGCAGTGAACAAGTCAGACAAAGCCCTCACCCTTCTGGAGCTCACATCTAGTAAGGCAGACTATACACAAGTTCACTAAATTAACTAATAAAATTATCTCAAAGAGTGCTAAGTGCTAGGAGGGAAATAAGAGGGATGGGATAGGGCGTGACTGCAAGATGGGTGCTGCTGGTTTATGGGGTGATCAGAGGATGGGCATGAGCCAGTCACACACTGACGGAAGGGAACAGCATTCTGGGTAGCGGGAACAGTCCGCATAACGGTCCTTAGGTGGGAATGAGATTGGCTTGTGTGGGTAATAGGAAGGCCAATGTGGCTGGAGTAGAGGAAACAAGGGGAGAGTAGTAGTACAAGTTGATGGGGTAGGCAAGAGATAGATCATGTTGCTCAGAAGGAGTCAGGATTTTATTCTGAGCGTACCGTAGGGGATCGAGACAATAGGATTTAGGTTTGTGAAAGATCTCTCAATTGTGTGGAGGATGGACTGAAGAGAGGCAAGAGGAGAATCTGGGAGACCAATCTGTTGCTGCAGATACCCGGTTGAGAGAAGATGGTGACTTGAATGAGGTGGTGAGAGCAGAAGTGAAGAGAAGTGGACAGAAGATGAATCAGATCAATTCTCTCCTATTGCCTGGGACAAGGAATTTAACTTGGGATGATTGGATGAACTTCAGGGGGTCAACGAGGCCCCTATAACTGTATAAAAAAACTTTGTGTCTACGTGCGTATGAGAGGTAGACCTTCCATTAGGATCCATAGGTAAAGAAATAACACTCAAAGTGATAGATATTCTTCATTCACAAGACTCAGTGTCTGAGGCTAGGGTATGAAACTCACCACCATCAGAACTACCATTAAAAGACACCTGAAGCTACAATACAAAACAAATAAATAAATAAATAAAATTTAAAAAAAGGAGGAAAACAGCAAGTGTTGCCAAGGATGTGGAGAAACTGGAAGCCTTATACATTACTAGTGGGGATGTAAAATGGTGTAGCCACTGTGGAAAATAGTTTGGTGGTTCCTCACAAAGCTAAACATTAGAATTTTCATTTTACCCAGCCATTTCACTCTTAGGTATATACCCAAAAGAACTGAAAACAGAGACTCAAATATATCCTTGTAGGTCACTGTTCATTGCAGCAGAATTCACAATAGCCAAAAGGTGGAAGCAACCCAAGTGCCCCTCAGCTGACCAATGGATACACCAAATGTGGTATGTACATTCAACCAGCACATCATTCAGCCGCAGTGAGGTTCTGACACAGGCTACATACGGCATGGGTAAACCTTGAAAATACTAAGGGAAATAAGCCAGACACGAAAGGATAAATATTGTAAAGTTCAACTTATATGAAATATCTAAGATAGGCAAATTCACAGAGACAGAAAGCAGATGAGAGGTTATCAGGACTGGGGAGAGGCGAATGGGGACCTGTTGCTTAATGGTTATAGAGTTCATTTGTGCTCATGAAAAAAATTCTGGAAACATACAGTAGTGATGGTTGCCAACATCGTGAATGTAATGCCACTGAACTGTACACTTGAAAATGGTACAAATCACAGGCACACACGAGCAAATAGCTACCAAGGATGGGGAGTCTGGGAGAACTACACGTTTGAGGGGATGATGTTTAAGGGAAAGTTGCCTAGAGGAGGTGATCATAAGCTGCAGTTACGAGCCAAGATTTCCACACTCAGAAAGGAGACGAAAAGCTTCTGGTAAGCTCTGGGACCTACTTTCCGGACTCTGGAGCCACTGCCTGGGTTGTAATCTTGGCCGGGTGGCCTTGGGCCCCTTTCCGTGTCTCAGTCTCCCCATCTGTAAAACGCCCACAGTAAGGGTATCATGTAAAACGCCCACAGTAAGGGTATCTTCTGCTAGGGTTGCTATGGTGAGTAAATTAGTTAATGCATGTAAAAGTAATCAGTTCTCTGGACGCAGTTAACTGCTTTATAAGTGTTAGGTAGTCTTAGTTTTGTTTAACTTTTCTTTTTTATTAAAAAGAAAAGATTGTGGAAAAAAATCTAAGAAGAAAATAAAAATCACTTAATTCTACTACCCAGTAGCAATCCCTGCTAACCGTTTATTGCCATTTCTTCCACAACTTTCTGTCCGCAAATGCAGACACACAGAGCTCCGCCAGCGAACCTCCTCTGCACGGCGCACGCCGCGGCCAGCGACCAAGACAAAGAAATTCATCGAAGCTCAGCCGGCCACCGACTCCGTCCCCCGAAACCACCTCCCAGTTTGCCGCGTGCGCACTCCGCGCTCGCGGAAGGGGGAGCGTCGCAGGGCCTTCCCCCAAACGGAAGTGATGTCAGCACATGCGCAGTGACGACGAGGAGGCCGTCGGAAAGTAAGGGCCGGCCTGTGTGCGAGCTGGTTTCCGGAAGTGGTGCTGTGGCAGCATGCTCGAGGAGCTGGGTTTAATCGGGACCATAGGCGAAGATGACGAGGTGCCGGGGGATCCTGAGTCTGACTCCGGGGATGAGGAAGAGGAGGTATGAGCCGATCGGGGTTGGGGGCGCGGCGGCGTGCAGTCAGGTTTCCGTGATTGCTTCCCTTCTCCGTGATTCCTCGGGCCCCTGCCCCAGCTCCTCGGCATCCTCCTGCCAGGCCAGCAAGTGTCCCTGGAAGGGGACCCCAAGATCTTCCTCAGTTTGGTCGCCACTAGCTTTTCCTCACCTCTGCGCCTGTGCCGGTAACGCGCCGTGCCGTCTTGGCGAACTTAGTACCCATTCACTGATGTTGAATCCGGGCTCTGTGTGATAGATAATAGAGATCCAGGGGCCAAGCCAGTCGTTGTTCCTCATCAGGGGTTCGTTCATTAAGCCAGTATTTATTGACGTGGAGGCCCATGGGACACCCGGGTGGAGGTGTCTGTAGGCTACCTCTAGTGTTCAGCTTTCGGGACACAGCAGTGAACAAGATGGGCAAGGACACCACTCTTCTGAAGCTTATGCTGAGTCGGAGGGTTACAGACATTAAGCAGTGTGGCAGTTAAAAGAGGAACAGTGTCATGAAAAAGGGGCTCACCCTACAAAGATCCAGCCCAGGTGTTTGCCCCACTGTGGCCTCATTTACCTCAGACACCTCCACCTGGGCGTCCCATGGCCTCCACGAATTCAGCTTCCCCAAAGCTGAACTCGGGTCTCCCTCACCTTCCCAACCTGCTCCATCTCAAGCCAGACACCTAAGCATCATCCTTGACAGCCGCTTCCTTCTCACTCCCCTCCAGGTTCGTTCAGGCTAGCTCAGCTCTTTAACTTCTCCCCCTTTTCCTAGCTCACCCTAGCCCAGGCCACTGCCACCTTGTGCCTGGAGACCCAGCATCCTAAGGTACCTGGTCTCCAGCCTTTCTCTTGCCCGACCCCCCACCCCATTCACTACTTAGCAGCAGCTAAGTAGTCTTTTCATTTCTTGAATGGGAAACTTATTAAAAAGGACTGGAGCAAATATGGCAAATGATAATGCCAAAGTTAAAAGATGAAGTTCTGTACAGCTATCAATAGTTCAGTTGGGCGCCTGGGTGGCTCAGTTGGTTAAGCGACTGCCTGCGGCTCCGGTCATGATCCTGGAGTCCCCAGATCGAGTCCCGCATCAGGCTCCCTGCTCAGCAGGGAGTCTGCTTCTCCCTCTGACCCTCTTCCCTCTTGTGCTCTCTCTCTCTCATTCTCTCTCTCTCAAATAAATAAAATCTTTAAAAAAAAATAGTTCGACTAAGTACCCGAGAAATGATATGTAACCATTGTTAATAATGAACTTTAGGGTGAGAGTTCTTACGAGATTGTTTAACTCAAGTGAGGAAAAAAAGGTCAGTTTCTAGTTCTCAGAAGCCATAATTCGGTCGGTCTTCCTTTCCAGTTTTTAGATGTCTGGGTTTTTGTCATTGGTTTCTAACTTAATTGAATTGCTGCAAGAAAAAGAGTCTGTATGATATTGATTCTTTGAAACTTTTTTAGAATTATTTTTTGAAGATTTGCTTAAAGGCCTCTTGTGTAATTAGTTTTTGCACCTATTCCATGTTTGTTCAGAATGCGCATTCTCTAACGGTTGATGCAGCGTTGTCTATAATGTTCACAGGAATGAAGCTTGTTGATTGTGCTCTTCAGATTTTCTGCGGACACTTATTTTTTGTCTGCTTAATCTGTCAGTTACTGAGAGAGCCATGTTAAGATCTCCCATGACAATTGTAGATTCCTGTTCTGTGTTGTTTCAGCCCTGTAGTCATCCTGCTTCTCCCTCTTCCCAGGGGCCCATCGTGCTGGGCAGAAAGCAGAAAGCCTTGCAGAAGAACCGCAGCACTGATTTCAACCCTGACTTCGTTTTCACTGAGAAGGAGGGGGCATACGATGGCAGCTGGGCCATGGCCGATGTCATGAGCCAGCTCAAGAAGAAGGTGAGAACGGACAGTGATTGGCAGTTCCAGGCCGTGGGCTATTGAGGTTGGACAGTAGGTTTTGGGGTCTAACCTCACTGCCTTTTGCCATCTGCTTACATTCAGCAAATGCTGGAACTCTTGGAAATATGTGGTGTAGTTTTGATGGGGTGGGGAGAAGCAGTCACAAATAACCCCCAGTCTTGATTAAAACCAAAGTGTAAAATGTTGCAACATAGATTTATTACAGACTAATTACAAACACATGAATTGATCTACAGATGATATTTTAAAGTATCAGAAATATCTTATTTCCTTCATTAGAAGACGTCCATGACGGCTTTTCCTAGAGAAGGGCATGGCGAACTCATATTAACTTCCGTATATATATTAAGGGAGACCATTCCTGATATTATACACACTAAAATGTGAAAAAAAAGTTTTAGAGGAAATCTGATAATACTGGTCTACTGGTTTAGGAATACCAAATATTACATATAAATTGCTTTACTTAGAAAAGAAGTGGGCATAGCTGTGTTAAAATGGTCTCTTTTTGTAGGTGTTCCCTCCTTGTTTTGAATACTAGAGAGAAACCTTTGTTATATTAGTTTGTAACAAAGAACAATCTAGCATGCACCCTTGGTAGTAGTGTTTTGATCTGCCCCACAGACACTGTCATTGTGTCACTTGCCAGGTGATCTCACTGTTTAGGGTCCCTGGTTCCCACACAGCATAGCCAAAGCTGCCACAATGTCACCGTCATCTGCTTATTTGTCAAGATCCCATGTTTTCCTTTGAATCCGGTGAGCGAGCTAGAAGGTGCATCAACGACATTTTCCATTCCATGGGCCTCAAAGAGAAATGCTGCCTGCACAGGCCTATTTACTCCAGACTCTCTTGGTGTTCTGATTAAAATCAGCTAGCATTGCCTTTTCATGGTTACCTGGACAGGATTTCTTTGTGATTTTTTTTTTTTTCCTTTTCAGTACTTTTTCAGAGAATGCCAGAGAAATTTTCCTTTTTCAAAATAATTATGAAATGTTTGTTTCCCTGTTCCATGTTTTGATGAAAGTTCACTCCAGGTTCACTTAACAATTATTACATTTGTTCCCAGGTCCGGGCATATAGGCCCCATGTAATTAAAGACTTGGTCTTATAAAGCTTGCAGTCCAGCAGGGTAAAAGATAAGTAAACGAATAATTACACAGTTAATTATAGTTGTGGCAAATGCCATGGCAGTTCAGGGTGCTTTGAGCATAGGTAAAGGAGGCCTGCCATTACTTACCCTTTCTAAAAGTTTTAGCAGAATTTGCTTTGGTTTCAGCCTTTAATTGCTAGGCTAAATTCTGTCTGATTGGCATGGGGAAGGGTTTTCTAAGTAGCATTCAGCTATAAATGTGACATCTCTCGGTAATCCTGTTCTTCTTAATAGTAAACACCTTCCAAAATGTGGATGTTCTTGGTTCCAGGTAAAGATTTTTCACGCTTGACTATTTATTTATTTGTTTCGTTGTTGTTGTGAATAATCTGCAGATTGATTAATCTATCCAAGGATAGACAAGCCTCTTCTATATTAACATTGGAGACCCAACCCTCAGAGAAACCTTGCTTTGTCTCTTTCCCATATATATGCTTCTTATTCATCTTATTTTTATCTGCAGAGGGCAGCCACTACATTAGATGAGAAGATTGAGAAAGTTCGCAAGAAAAGGAAAGCAGAGGTGAGAAAGCAAAGCAGGTACTTCTCTGTGTAAAGCCCTGAGCTTTGCCCTCCACATGACCCCACCATTTTTCTTTAGCCTGAATTGGAGTGCGGGGGTGCAGACAGGCTTCTCTGTGTGTCTGTTGTTAATAATCACTGAGAATCTGCAGAGCATTCTGCCCAGGCTGGAGAGCATGGTATTGCTTTTCAGAGGTTCTGGATTTCCTGAAGTTTGTAGTTGCCTTGCTTTACTATAATATTTTTTCCAGGATAAAGAAGCCAAGTCTGGGAAGTCAGAGAAGGAGAAAGAAGCAAAGGAGGGCTCTGAACCAGAGGAACAGGAAGACCCTGAAGGGAAAGATGAGGAAGGCCCAGAAGATGAAGACTCAGAGACCGATTACTCGTCAGCTGATGAGAACATCCTCACCAAAGCAGGTGGGCGTTACAGAGACGCTGTCGGAAACGGGGACAGGAAATTGGAACGAGTCCACCTTTCCTTTGTAGGACTTCCTGTGTTCTTCTACACAGTCACATTTAAGATCTCCACGTTGAACTCCTTCTAGCTTCTCTTTTTTCTTGGGGTTTTGTTAGGGTTGTACTTTGCCGGCAGACCCATACCCTTTCCCTCCTCCCCAGCACCACACAGCTGCTGGCACCTCTAAGACTCAGACTTATTTGGGGTGATAGGTCCCCCACATCCCACCTCAGATGGGCCCAGCCGCATGGTGGGCGCTTCGTAAATATTTCTTGCAGAAATGAGTGTTTGAGCATGATAATAGAGTGCAGTGGTTGAGAGCCTGGTCTCTGGAACTTGCCGAGCTTGCTGCACTTGTCCTCACTGTCAAACGAGGCTAATGAGAGTAGCCGCCTCGGGCTGTTGTGTGGATTCAGTGAGGTATCTACAGAAAGCACTTAGGACAGTGGCTAGCAGATTATAAATGCTCAGTAAGTACGAGCCCTGATGGTCAGCTCTTTTGCTCCACAGATACACTCAAAGTAAAGGAGCGGAAGAAGAAGAAAGGACAGGTGAGCATGAGCATGGAAAAGAGCATGCAGCTTATTTTTGCAACCTGACAGGATTTTAAGGCCAGTTAGTTTCCTTGGGCCCATTTTGCTGAATTCTCATTCTGTCTTTTGATTTCC